ATTCCTGCTTTTTAATATCAGGCTTTCTTTTTGTAGGTCTGTTTCAGTGAGGGACATTTATGGCTGGGTCAGATGCCACATGTGTGTGCACGTATTTAAGAGCTACTGTTTAGTTGCCACAGCTCTGAAAGAACAGTTACCTTTCACAGATGAGAAAAGTCCAGCAGTCCCAGCCAGCAGCCAACCTCACCATCCTGCTTTCCCACCAGCCCTTGAAGGATGACACTGCCTCCTTTCTCTTTGCCCCAGGTTCAAGCATTTCTCAAGGATACTTGGATCGCTACTCTAACAACTGCAGTAAAGAGCAACCTGAGTGATGAAGAAGAAGAAACCTGGTACGACCTGGAAGAGAGCGACTGGGATGATTACCAGGCATCCAAACTGCAAAACCTGATGCAGCGCCTCAGGTTCAGCCTCCAGGACTCTCTGCGCTATCTGGTCCTGAACTCACTGATCAGCTTCACCCAACTTCTGCTGGGTGCTTGCCGTGGTATCCTGAATTGCTCAGAGGACATGGAATGGGGAGATGACCTCATTAATAGCCCCTACAAGTAAGGAAGAGGGCGGGCGGGGGTGGGCAGAAGAAAGGGTGGAAAGAGCAGAAAAGTGTAGTGCCATTTTCTTTCTAACTACTGTTTTTGCAAACAAGCTGTGCACTTGGGGGGCCTTTAGGCTGGGCTGTTCCCCCCCTGTCCTCCACATGACACATTTGCTTGCTTGAGTCTGGAAGAATGACATAGAGCTGGCTGCTCTGCTAGAACAGATTTCAAGTTGCTGTTAGTGATATGAGGCAGCCCATCAGAACAAAGGTCTGCTACTTTGACATACTGTTCTAAAGATTAGCCACTTTCAGCATTCCTGGGGGAACAAATAGTTACCACTAGCTTTTTTTTCTGGAGGATACCAGGAAGAATACCAGGAGTCATGGTTGCTTAATTCCATTCCTGGATTAAATCTCAGAAGTACGATCTGGCCTGGAATCTCTAAAGAATACCAAATTCAGGTTGCCACAGTGCCTGGAATTTTCTTCTGTTGGGTACTGATTTAAGGATTTCTGTCCTTCATGGTGTCAAAGAAAAATTCAGAAATTGAAAAGAGGAAGAAAAAAAACAACAACCTGCCACTCACATGAGGGCTTTTACCTGGAAATCTGTGGAAGTCTGGTCACTGACTTAGCTGATACTGAGCCATGGTAGTAACATACAAGACTGGGAGATACTGAATATAACTTCCAGAAGGTATATTTTTTAAGAGTATATTGGAGATGCTGAATGCCTGGTTTGAAGAGCACCTGGAGTTTTTCTGTAAAGCAGCTCCAGTTCTCAACAGAAGGTTATAACTTCTATGGGTGGTGGAGCATGGCTGTTAACTGGTGATTCTGTGACTTTTGGGGATCCTGGTATGTTGTAATTTGCCCTTCCTTTTCCTTTGATAGACAAGGGTTCTCAATGTTTTTACTGGTAAATTCAAAACACAGTGTTTTACCTTAATCTGTATGGGACAGTCCTCTTCTCCTTTCCTTTCCTACCCAGTAGGCATTTTACTGTCAGCACCAGAGCAATACAGTTGTCTCATTGTCTCAGAAAACATCCCTGTTCTTCCTTACCTCTTCCCACTGCAGGCCTCAAAGGAATCCACTCTTTCTAACAGAACTTGTGCTAGACAGCAGTGGTGTTCACTTCAGCCCCCCTGTGGACAGCTTTGAGAAGTCCCTCATGTCTCTGTTTGACACGGGAATCCTGGTGACTCACACTATCCCACAGCTGGAGAAGGTGATAGAGCCGTGCAAGTCTTCCCAGGGCATTGCAGCTGGGCACAGGCACCCCTGGGCTTGTGCTGAGGGAGAGGGTTGCACAAGTAGGTAGTTGGGGATATGGTTTAATTAGTTCTCTATTCTGAGAGGGTTTTTTCAAGCTTCCCAAACCTTGTAGCTATTTTACGTGGTTGCTGTCTCTGCTTTGGTGCTGCAGGTTCTATGGAGACATGTCCTAAGTAGCCTGGTTGCCTTAAGAACGTGGCAGCTGGTAAAAGCAGATTCATAAAGGAAAAAGCACCTTTCCCAGCACAGTCTGATGCAGATCTCTTCTGCATATGCAACCTTCTACCTGTTGGTGTGAAAGACCCTAAGTCATCCTCCTTCTGGGGACAGGGGGGCAACATAAAACTGATCAAGCAATTCCTGACACAATGTAGAATGCTGGACTGCATGAATTTCCAAAGGTGCCACTAGTGATCGTCTCACTCCGCTCCTGAGGAGGCGTGGTTAGCTCTGCTAGTCCTGAAAGGCCTCTCTTCTCCCTCTTCCAGTATGTGTTGGAGAACATGCCCATCACAGGCACACCCTTGCTGGACTCAGTGGGCTTGCACGAGCCAGAAGTGGAAGAACTACGTGAGGCTATGTGGTCTGCCATTCAGAAGGCACGGATCCCTCTCCAAGCCTATGCCAAGAAATATGAGAAGTTCTTGGAGCTAAATAACAATGACATCCCGTACTTTCTAAGGTAGGTGGCTTCTGACAGAGGCACCTCTAACCTAAGAAGCAAACCTTTTTAGAAGCTGTTGTGTGGATGTGTGTGAGAATGCAGGACCTGTTCTGAGACCAGGAATGTGTGTGAAGTGCCTCAGCTGTGAGATCAGGCCTCCATCAGAGGCAGCCTTCAGATGTGGTCAATGGTCCACGCTTCCAGAGGGCAGTGAGAATTTATTCCTGCCTCTGACAGCAGTCACATTCGTGTCATGTTTGTAAGTGTAATTGGAGATATTAATGACTCTAAAAATGACTCATCCTGTTTGAAAATCCAGTTAGCATACTTAGCTCTGGCCTCCTTCAAATGGCATCTGTTCAGGTTGATAACATTCTGTACAAAGTGATGTTTTCTTTTGTTTCAGCCTCACTGTTTTCACTGCCAAAACTCTTTGCACCTATGCCACCGTTTAGTCTCTGTTCCTTTAATAATCTCAATTTTACATCTCATATTTTCTCCAAACGGTGGGGATGAAGACCTTTTTCTCTTTTGTTATTTCAGCTTAATCAATTTACAAATCCCATCTGACAAATTCCTCTCTTTTCCCAGAACACATTGAAGTGCCTGTCCTCCCCCACGTGCCTCCTGATCGTGCCCTGTTCACACCAGTGCTTTCATTTTGTCCCTCCCTCTCCCCTTGCCTTATTACATCTTTCATCTCTTCCTTCCACTCCTTTTCTGCAGCTAAAATATGTTGTGCTCTTGTTCCACTCCATACCTATTGTGCTGTAAAACTCGTAAATCTGAGTCTGTCCCTTCCCTTACTCCCAAGTAACATTCATCAGCTACTTACCAGTTCCATGTCTTCTCATGTGCACATCTTCTGAAGCTGGGGACCTGTCTGTATCACTCCATGGTGTAGCTGCAGTTCAGGTAGGTGTAGGCAGCCTGGCTTCCTCTGCTTGGTACTGGTAACCGTAGCAGTGAAGACACTGAAGCAGAGTCTTTAGTGCAGACTGGTCAATCAAATAGATGGATTTTCCATGGGATGTCTTTGCTCCTGGAGCTTCCCATGCTCAGTTAAAGCTAGCACTCATGTACTTGGCTGTGATACAAACACTCCTCACTTCTTATGTTGGCACATCTTTGGTTGTAAGGTCCAGAAGGTATTGGTATCCTCTCAGTCTGTGCTTGCAGATAGTTGTATGCATTTGAATAGATGCATGTTTTAATAAAAGTAAACACATCCATTATTAATTTAGTCTTGATCATTTGGGTGGATGTGTCTGGATACCCTGCCTACAGCGTGGATACACAATCTCAAGGTCTATGTTACTTTTTTTTGTTGTTCTTTTTATTTACAGAGAGTATGAAGAGGAATGTCCATCTGCCCAGGAGGTGATGGATATAGTGAACATGCACTTGTCTGACAAAGAAAACACACGCAACACTCTACCTAGTTCTATTGTCATTGGTCCTTTCCATGTCATTGTAAAAGGTGTTAAGCAAAATCTGTGTCAAAAATACCAAGAACTTGCCACTGCCATGTTGGACCTACTTGCTAGAAACCTCCATTTGCGGGTGCAGAATGTAAGTTACCTGATTCCACAGATAATCTGTCAAGTGTTTTGTCTTGTCCTGCTTTTGAAGTTGCTGTGTTTGTGAAATGGCCAAAAGATGGCAACTGAGGTCACTTTAATGAGGACATGTTAAAGATTGCAAAGGAGTGATTATTGAAAAAAAACTACGAGAGGGGCGATACACAGACTCAGCCAAATCAAGTATTAATTATATGTAATAAATTTGGTGCCTGCAAGCTGTATCTCTTGAGATTAAATTCTTCAGGACCCTGCCAGCTTGTAAAAATGTGTTGGTGGATTGAAAAGATCTGTCTGGTAGACAACTGCAAGGCCCTTCTGCTTGTTCTGATCATAACTGGAGTATAGACAATTGCATCTGCCAGAGAGTTGCCTAAATCTGTTATTTTCATCCTTTCAACTATGTACCTGTGGTTCCTCTTCCTCTTTTTTTGGCAGTCTCATTCAATTTGAGCTCAAATGAGATGGATGGAGAAAAACTGTGGGAAGAAAAACAGGGAACAGGACTGTGTACTCATCACTTCAAACCACCTTCAGAGTGGGAAGCAGGTGGATTATGGCAGGTTTTCCAGTTTGTCTATTAGCAATTAATGACGTTTTGATGGTCTTTGCTGTGTCCTCATGCAGATCTGTAATACCTATGAAAGTGTCAGCAGCATAATACAGGAGAAGCCAAACAACATCGAGGAGCTGACTGAGCTGCGGGAGTGGATGAAGGGAGTCCCAGAGCAGCTGGCTGTGCAGGAGGTAGGGCTGTCCTTCTGGAGAGGGGACACCAAGGAAGGGAGGAGGAAGTCTGTCAATGCAATGTGTATTGTCTCAGAAGCAGAACTTCAGGGTTTTTTGCTTGAATGTCTTTGCATGCGATGCCATTAAGATTCCTGGCTTTTTATTTTTGTTATTCCTAAGATTTGTATTTTTAAATACACATATTATGAATTCCAATATCTATGCATAACAAAATAGCAGTTAAAAATTGTGCCTAAATGACTTGTGTGCTTTTTCTACCTTCATGATCCATTCTGCATTTGTGTACTGAATAGCTGTCTTCTAAAAATGCATGTTGTTTTCAAGAAAATATTTCTGCTACCAAATGCTCATATTGCTGTTAACATATTTCTTCTAATAGGACATTCTAATGCTGAGTTATTTCAAAGTTAATTGAACTGTAGGTCTTCTCCCAGGTGAACAAATAGGAAACAAAGGCATCAAGCTGTAAACTGACTTGTCCATGCAAAGGGAAGAACCTGGAGGATAACCCAAGACACTCAAATTTCTGTCCAGCACTTCATCCATTAGGTCACACTTCATTGATACAGAAGAGGAGGTGATAATGGTGTGAGCATAGACAGAGGAAGGGGTTGTAAATCCATTCCCACTGTTCACGCAGCAGAGGCAGCCTACATCACACTGCTTGTGTGACTAGCTCCCTGCAAAGGCACCTCATGAAAATTAGGTATAATGCCAGGGAGCTGCAGTCAGTGTGGAGGTCTAAAGGTGTCTGTTTTTTAATAGTCTCTTTCTCTCACCCTGTGCAGGAACTGATTCGTGAAGTCATGGAAGATTACAAGGTCACGGAGATATTCCTGTACAGTCTTTCTGACGAAGATTCCAATGACAAGTGAGCAGAAGGCATTTCTCCCACGGTCGAAGTGGAACACTTTGACCAGCAATTACTATTCTCAGTGCTTCAGGGACCGGGTGTCTGTCTATCAAGGGCTTCAGCAGAACTTTTAAGTGCCTCTCAGGCTGTATGAGCACTGAATTCTTGAAGATTATAGAGCAGAAGTGTGGGCTCATGCTGCCTTCTGGCCTGGGGGAAAGCAAACTGGCAGCTAGGAACCTGTTTAACATATTTAAGCTCTTTTGGGTTGTTTGTTGGGTTTTTTTGAGACATTTGCAAGGTCTCAAAAGTGCACAGTTTAGTCTGTCTCTGGAACTGAATGAACGTTTCCAAGCTAGGAGCACTCCCTGGGTTTCCTTAGGATTAGGAAGGCCCACGAACCAGGGTGCAGCCTTTCCTGCACCCGCAGGATCTCTGGGTCCCCGTCCTGCCCTGGGCCTGACACCACGGGAAGGAACCGGCCCCATGGCCGCTCATTTGCCACCCCCCACCAGGGGCTCCCCAAGACAAGGGACAAGGAGGGCTCTTCACCGAGCGAGGCCACAGGCAGAACAGGCCCAACCTGGACAAAAATACCTCACGCTGACCCAGCGTGCGCAGAGCTGGGCCTAAGGGCGCTGCTCCCGCCCGTCCCCGCTTCCCGCCCAAATGGCTTCGCGCCTGGGGTCCCTCCCTCCTGCCCTCCAGGAGCACAGGGAGGGGGTTTAGAGTCAGTTCACGGGCTGGTGGTTCCTGCTGCTCCTTCCTCCTCGGGAAGAAGGATTTGTTGCATCCTCCCCGGCTTCCCCACGGGGTCCCTCCCGCGGGAGAGGCAGTGTTCCAGGGAGCTCCCTCGGGAGCCCTTCCCGCCAGGAGCAGCAGCTCCAGCACCAGCTTCCACGGGGTCCCGGGTCGGTCCCACCTGCCGGGGCTTCCACAGCAGCCTCATCCGAGTGCAGCGAATCCACATCCACCCCTCCTGGCGCTCTCAGGGAATGTTCCACCGCGTTCCTCCAGGACATCGTGGGTTGCAGGGAAACTTGTGCTTGGGCACCTTCTTCCCCTTCTTCCTCACCAACCACAGGCACCCTCTGCCTCTCCAGCCCAGCTCTTCCCTGCTCAGCTCGCCCTGCTCAGCTCTTACCTCAGGTGTTCTTCGTATGTTAATCACTGAGGCGCATCTGTTGTCTCTCTAATGGCTCCTTTGGAGCCGGGGAAGCTCCTCAGCTTCTTACGGAGCCACCTTGGGGACCCTCCCCCGAGCCAGCAGAGACCCTGGCCCCTCTGCCCTGCTCTGCAGGAGTCTGGCTTTTTCAGGAGCCCTGGAAAGCCACGAGCCAAGACTCTGACCCCATTTTTTTTTTCAGCTCCTTGTGAATACATTCAAAGACAGACATTCCCTCTGGATGCCAGCGGTTATTTTGCTGTCTCCTAGCTTTTCAGCATACGGGATTTGTTCCTTTTAAAAAGGCCCTCCACTTTTCCCCAGCCCTCTCCAGCTGAATAGCCCAGTCACAAGGACTGCATATCAACAAGACAAGCTGGAAAAAATGTTTTGTTGAAACCACACATGTTTCTGTTGGTGTAAAGCTTCCTTGTTTGGTGGGAGTTGGCTCCTTCATTCTGCTATTTTCAGCATTTCAAACATATGCTCAAAAAGCTTCTCTCTCTGCTCCTTTTTTCTTTTTGTTTATTTTGTTGTGTCATGTGAGTGCAGGGGGGCTGCAAGTTATTGGCCGACGAAAATAAGTCTGCAAACCCAGGCCGTTCAGCTCCAGCATGAGGAGGATGAAGAGAAATTTAGCAAAGCCCACATCATAGATCAGAATGGTTTTCAAGACAAACTGGAAGACATGGAGGTAATAAGGCCCTGACTGTCCAGAGAGGGGACCTTGAAGCTCTTGTGGTCAGCCAGAAAACTTTCAGATGAGATTTTAGTTGGATGAGTTTTTAGGTCAATGTATTGTTGGACAAAAAATTATCAAACTCCCCCCTGGTTTCTTATTGGAAGTTGGGCTTTTGATTAAGAGTTTCATTTTTGTGTGGAAGACAATACTCTGCAGAGATACTGATTTTTCACTGAAAACATGTTCACTGATATATATATATATATATATATGTGTATATATATATCCCAATTCTTGGTGCTCAGGCAACATGTGTGCCTCCTTTTACTTGTGTACTCAGTTCTCTGCAGAGCATCACCCATGATGTGCTGCCATCAAGGGGGAAAAAGCAGAGCAGTCATGGAACTTGTCTCCTGTGAAAGACCCTGAAACAATAGCAGAGTTTTGGAGCTGAGATACCTCTAGTTTCTGCTGAAATAGTTAGATTTTTTTTTTTCACCAGAAACTCTTAAATACAGAGGGGAGAGCCATATTGGAAAGGCTATGACCGGTAACCTAGATTATCTTAGAAATAGCCTCCCAAAGTGAGAACACCCCAACAATGGATTTTAAAACAAAAAGACCAAACCAGCCGAACAAACAAAACTAAGCCAACAAAACATAAGAGTTATTAGAGAAGCTCTGGGAATGTGCTGTGAAACAATTCTTGGAAACAGACTGAGTGACCTAGTAGAGCTATTGTTTTCACTTCTCTGATTCCCTAACTAATGCCAGTATAAATTCAGTAGCAAGAAATTTGGGCAAAGACTCATTGCACCTGCTCCTCAGGGATTTAACTATTGTTACAAAGATGAAAGGCAGCTGGTCATTACATTTGCACTTTCAAACACCTGACCAGTGGTTATTGCTTCTCCTCACCACTTTGATTGTGGTCTAAAAAAGTGGAATTGGATTAGGGGAGATGAAATTGCGAGGATAAAAATCTTGCCTTTGAATGCAACAAAGAGCACACCAGCAAGCTGAGACCTCCAGGGACAGCACTTGGCTTCAGAGCCACACCTCATGCCTGCCTTTTCTTTTCCAGCTGACTGTAGGTGGACTTTCTGTCCAGGTGGACGTTAACCAAGCTCATGAGTTGGCTAAAAGAGTAAGGTGGATCAATAAGGAGCAGAAAGATC